TATTGCGATTACTTGATAATTTGGGGTTTTTGATGGAAAGCCGAAAAAATAATGTTTTGCGTCCTAGTCCGTAAAATTAGATTTTTATATTCGAAAAGCGGGTGTAAAATGAATAGTGTTCCCAGTAGAACGTAATATGCAGGTGGACTCTGAAAGCGGTAGGCTATCTTTCGAATGAGAGGCAAATAATTATGCTTCCATTACACTGTCCGTAAAACGTCGTTTTACGGACACTGTGAAGAAAAATTATGTTCGTCACTCGTCCGAAAACAACTTTTCCGACTTGTGTGATTGCATTCCTCTGCTCCGCCTCGGTCTGCAACGAAAAGTTTTTTAGAAAAGTTTTTTTGGCCCTAGTTTGGAAAATTACATTTTACAGGCTGCTAGGGGTTATGTTTGATTCTCGATCTGTAGAACATCTACGACTGGTTGTAGTGAGATGAATCGATATATCGCGATTTTCAGTAATTTGGGGTTTTGGGTGTGAAGTAAAAAAATCAGGTTTTCAGTCCTAGTCGTAAAAATTAAATTTTGGGACCGGGAAAGCGGCCGTAAAGTACAAATTTTTGCAATTAGGACATATCGTAAGTCAAGTCTAGTACGATTTCACGAAGATAGAGAGAAATTTCACGTCCTTGATTGAATGATATAGACGTTAATGCCTAAAATAAAGTTCCCAAAATGTCACTTTTGGCGATAATACAGAAAAATGAGTATTTTTTATCCGCTTCTCCTCGGTAGGAGAATCCAGAAAAACCCTGATTATTTCGTTGCATCACGAAAGGGTTGGGCTGTATTAAACTCACGACGTTTCCATTTAATTTAATTTCAGAGAGTGTGAGGATGTGTTTCTTCATTTTATTTATTAAATCGATGTCACACGGTCTCCGAGGAAATCGAAGCGGGATGGGACAGAAAATAGGTGTATTCGTTTTTTATCCATTGGGAATAACTGTGTGATAGCGAGTGGAGTTTGCGATATCGTAAAAACTGGGGATGGACGGTAAATGCTTTGGGGCTCTGAGAGGTTACGGGGTCATTTATCTCAGAGGTGGAAAATCGCAAGGATTTCACAATCGCACCGCTATGATATTAGAAAATTATGGAATCGGGGGGATAATGACTCCAGTCAATAGGTGGAAAACTCAGGAAAATTTCCGTTGGAAAACTCAATATGGCGACCCATTTTGTTCCGTAAAATTTCTAATTAAAAAAAATTCCAATCATTTGTTTTTGTTCATAATTCGGAATGAAAATATTAAAAAATGACCGTCATGTTGCATTTTTCCGTAGAAATTTTTCCACCAGATTTTATCTATTTGATTTGATGATAAAAAATCCCGAAAAAATCTGATTACCCAAAATCATTGACACAATGATATATTTTCAATTGTTGAAGTAAAAAAAAAATCACCTGAGAGAGTCATTTATTTTGCACGAAAGCCCCTTCCCCCTCGCAAGATCCTTCAAACGAAAGAGAAATGGATATAGAGAAGGGAGGAGAGTTCTCGAGGAGCTTCTGTCTTGCCCAGGGGTCGTATCATTATCTATTTCTCCAGAGAAACTCCAAACCACCCCCAACCCCCCATTTCCTTCCACCTTTATTTATAAAGAAAAGAAAAAGAAAGACCAGATGAAGAAATGGGAGGAAAATAAATAACGACGCAGAGGAGTTTCGCGAATTTTAATCATTTCCTGTCGGTAATACCGTATTTTTCGAAAAATGTGAAAATTTTTTCGAAGAAATCTATATTTTTGATGGCGCCATCTGATAGGCGGGGAAATTTCCGCTGGAAAACAGTGTATGAGGACCTTTTTTGGTCTCATGGGTCTCGAGATGTAAAATTTCGGCCATTTTTTCCCATATTCACACGATTTTTGGGCCACAACATTTAAGGTTGACGAATGAATTCTTTTGGAGTAATATTTCAGCTGGAAAACATCAAAATGGAGTTTAGTAGGAAAACCCAATTTTCGACGAAAGTTATTTTTTGCCCATATTTTGGCTGGTTCTCAGCTGGAGAAAGTTTCACATCAAAAAGTGGATGAAAATAAATCATTTTGGTAGTGTTGCGAAGCCAAGCCTTCGCCCGAAAAAAATTAAATTTGGGCTACAAATATTCTCCAGTAATATTTCGACAAATTTTGGGCGAAAATGTTTACATTAGCGAGTGGATTTTTTTTGGTGGAGAATAACCTGGGAAATTTCTGCTAAAAGAAACATTAAGGCGATTTTTCAGGGAAAAGCAAAATTTTCAGCTGAATTTTTTTTGCCCACATTTGAACTAATTTTCAACTGAAGTAAATTTTCCGTCAATAATTGGCTGAAAGAAAGCAAAACAGTGCTTGAATAAAGAAAAACCTAATTTTCGGCTAACATTATTTTTCGCCCATATCTGGGCGAAAATTGGACTGCCTGTGAATTTTCCATTTAATAACACAGACAGATTAGTCATTCCGTCAGCCGAGTCAGTAAACAATTGAAAAACTAAATTTTGGCTGGAAGGATTTTTGACCCATATCTGCACACATTTTGGGCTAAATAAATGTCTCACAAAAAGGGAATGAACGGGAGTTATGCGGATGTGACTAGCTAAACTCCTCCAGGAAAATACATTAATAATCCCTTTTGGGTCAATGATCGTCCAAATATCGGCGAAGTTAAATTTTGGGCGGAATTGTTCTTTTCCCATTATCTCGGCAACTATTCGACCAAAATAATCCGTGTTGGTGCATTTTCCAGAGGAAATTACCCCGGCTATCCAGCGTAACGCGAATCAACCCCCTCCGCGACATTCAACATTTTCAAGAATATCAACTCAATGACAAAAAACGAGCTCATTATCACCGACAGAGGGAGTGAGGATTCTATCACAGGTCATATGCGTGATGACCGAGCAAAACCTACAGGGAGTGTCGACATAAGGCGATAACGCAATGTAAAAGTCAAAGAGAGAGGGTGGCACGGGGGGTGCTGTGCACTCGATCAATCGGATAAAACGATAACGTCGCGACGTTATTATCACGATTTCACCGCACCTACACTCGCGTGCTAACTCCGGTTACCCTTGGGAGTATTCAGAGCTCACGTGAGGATTTTCTTTCCTGCACGTGATTAAATGATGATTAAGTGAAGCGGAATAATTAATATTATCGACAATGAGGGTGCAGAAAATTTCCGATCATCTTGTTTCTGAGAATTTTTCCGAGGATTAAATTATCAGATTCTTGTGATTGAAAATTTAAATAATTTCTTTTTTCAAAATCATTGTTTACAGGGGTTATAGAGAATGCATGGGACAAAATGGGTTCATAAGTAAGTCATTGGATAGGAAATTTTCTCAGCTTTATAGTCAGTCATTGTTCATCGATTTACAATGACAGATTTTTGGGATATCGTGATCCAAACGGAATGAAATGATCCATCATTTTGGGGTGGAATTAATCACGATTCAGTCGACTGTGTAAAAAACCGTTGGAGCCCTAAATTGTGAAAAGTATCGGGTTTGTGATATCTCACCAGAGTGATAAGAAAATCCGGAAACGTTACCCCCCCCCCCC